ACTAGACTGCAAGACTTGTGTTGTCCTGCAAAAGTGGTGGAATAGGACATAAATATAATAATGTAATGATAGATATTCTAACCAATGTACCCCAAACTGAATTATTTCATTGCAAGAATATTGTTCTTGAGACCCTTTGGGTTGTAAAGATAAGTGCTGTAGGAATAATATATCCTTAATGATTTTATCCTCTATCCTTCCTCTTCTGCTGCTGTATCTTTTTCCCAGTTTCTCTCATCCTATTGGAATGATGGGCAGTAACATCTTCACCACTCTTCCAATCTCTGGACTCATTCCACCTCCTCACTCCCCTCTCTATTTAACCAGAACACTGAAGTGACCCTTTTAAAATACATATATGGTTATTTTACTTTCACATTTAAATCTCTTAACGACCCCTAACTTCATTGCCTTCAGGATAAAGTGAAAATATTTTACAAAGTCTTTCAGAATTTCACGTTGGTTCTTTTTCAGTGGCTCCAGGCAGACAAGTTATTTGCAATACGCTGCAATCTGAGTGTTATGTTCCATCTCTATGTCTGTAAATAGGCTGTTACTTCACATCATGTAAAGTGCTTTATGTAATTATACTTAATTATGGCAAAAATCCTCCCCATTTTGAAGATGAATAATGTGGATATTCTTGTGGGTATTATTATTCTCACTTTGAAGATGAGGGAAGTTGAGAGGCTTAGAGGGTAAGGCCTAATGTATCAGCGACAGAGCCCAGATCTCTATGTCAGTCAAAGTTGTGCTCTTATCTGCTGCATTCATGATCTATTTATTGCATGATGTTATTTTCATGGAGAAAATGATAAAAGTATAAAACTTGTGACACTGGGAAGATATCCACAGAAAATGCTGAGGTGGGCCTGTTCTCTTTCTCTTTGAGTCACGGAGGTGTGCCAGTTGGGAAACACTAGCTCTGCTCTGGACTCAGAGGGGAGTGCTCCTCTAACTTGTACCTCTGCAAAGAAACTTGAAGGGACTATTGGGATGGTCCCCTTGTTTGAGGTAGAGTTGAAATATATCTTTTGGGTTTGCTGGGCCAGTAACAGTAGGGTCAAGCTAATGAGTACAAATATGGAAGATTGGGAAGGTCCTCCATGAAGTTACTAGGAGAAAGATTTGGGCTAATCTGAGAGGTGGATGGGGGTTTTCTTGAAGGCCGTTGAGTAAATATCTGAGCGTCACCTGAAATTGTCCAAATCTGAACAGAAAGTGTTGTGCTTCACTTAGAACACATTTAACACGAAGTAAATAAGGGCTTGATAGTGTCTACCTTTATAAAGAACACTTTTATAAAACCATATAGGCTTCAATATTTTATGTATGCTAAGACATTTTTGTATAGTTTGAAAGATCAAAAACTTGCTCTTTCAGGCCGGCCTGGTGGCGTAGTGGTTGAGTTCGCCTTCTGCTTCAGTTGCCCAGAGTTCACAGGTTTAGATCCTGGGCGTGGACCAACGCACTGCTTATCAAGCCATGCTGTGGTGGCGTCCCACATACAAAAATAGAGGAAGATGGGCATGGATGTTAGCCCAGCGGCAATCTTCCTCAGCAAAAAGAGGAGGATTGGCTACAGATGTTAGTTCAGGGCTAATCTTCCTCACCAAAAAGAAAAAAAAAAAACTTGGTCTTTCAAACCGATTCATTTTGGTATTCTTAAACCTTACCTTGGAATAGATGGACAGAAAGTAAGTGAATGTGAATAGTATGTAATTAACTGGAAACGAAATGTTTTCAATAGATTCTTTTGGTTGTTGTTTAATGAGTTTTTGTGTGTGTGCGAGGAAGATTAGTCCTGAACTAACATCCAATGCCAATTCTCCTCTTTTTGCTGAGGAAGATTGGCCCTGGGCTAACATCCATGCCCATCCTCCTCTACTTTATATGGGATGCCACCACAGCATGGCTTGACAAGTGGTGCGCCAGTGTGCACCCGGGATCTGAACCGGCAAACCCCCAGCTGCTGAAGTGGAGTGTGTGCACTTAACCTCTAAGCCACCAGGCCACCCCATTGAGTCTTTTTTTTTTTTTTTAACTGCAGGTCCTTCTTTTTGTGTGTGTGTGTGAGGAAGATCAGCTCCGAGCTAACATCCATGCTAATCCTCATCTTTTTGCTGAGGAAGACTGGCTCTGAGCTAACATCTATTGCCAATCCTCCTCCTTTTTTCTTCCCCAAAGCCCCAGTAGATAGTTGTATGTCATAGTTGCACATCCTTCTAGTTGCTGTATGTGGGACGTGGCCTCAGCATGGCCGGAGAAGTGGTGTGTCGGTGCCCGCCCGGGATCCGAAACTGGGCCACCAGCAGCGGAGCTCGGGCGCTTAACTGCTAAGCCACTGGGCCGGCCCCCATTGAGTCTTTGTTTATTAAGGTATAATTGACATATAACGTTATATTAGTTTCAGGTGTACAGCATAAAGATTCAATATTTGTATACATGGTGAAATGATCACAATAAGTCTAGTTAACATCTATCACATCACATAGTTACAAAATTTTTTTCTTGTGATGAGGACTTTTAAGATCTATTCTCTTCGTAACTTTCAAATATGTAATACAGTATGATTAACTGTAGTCACCATGCTGTACATTACATCTCCAAGACTTATTTACCTTTTAACTGAAAGTTTTCACCTTTTAACCTCTTTTACCAATTTCCCCAACCCTTCAACCCCCTCTGGCAATGACCAGTCTGTTCTCTGTATCTAAGAGCATGCTTATTTTAGATTCTACATATAAGTGAGATCATACAGTATTTGTCTTTCTCTGTCTGATTTATTTCATTCAGCATAATACCTTAAGGTCCGTCTACTTTGTTTCAAGTGGCAGAATTTTCTTCCTTTTTATTGCTGAATAATATTTCATTTTATCCATCTTCTTTATCTATCCATCCATAGCTGGACACTTAGATTTTTTCCATGACTTGGCTATTGTGAAAAATGCTGCAATGAACATGAGGGTGCAGATATCTCTTCAAAATAGAGATTTTGTTTCCTTCTTTGGATAAATATACAGAAATAGAATTGCTGGGTTGTATGGTGGCTCTATTTTTAATTTTTTGAGGAACTGCCATACTGTTTTCCATAGTGGTTGCACCAATTTACATTCCTACCAATAGTGCACAAGTGTTCCCTTTTCTCCACATTCTTACCAGCCCTTGTCATCTCTTGACTTTTAATCATAGCCATTCTAACACATGCAAGGTGATATCTCATTGTGGTTTTGATGTGCATTTTCCTGATAATTAGTGATGTTGAGCACCTTTCCATGTACCTGTTCACCAATTCTATGTCTTCTTTGAAAAACTGTATATTTAGTTTCTCTGCACCTTTTTTAATTGAACTTTTTTGCTACTGAATTGTATATGTTCTTTATATATTTTTCTTACTAATCTCTTTTCACATATATGATTTGCAAATTATTTTCTCCCATTCTGTAGGTTGCCTTTTCATTTTGTTGATAGTTTTCTTTGCTGTGTAGAAGCTTTTTAGTTTAATGTAGTCTCATTTATGTATTTTTGCTTTTGTTACCTTTGCTTTTGGTGTCAAATCCAAAAATCATTGTCAAGACCATCAACCCTATATTTACTTCTAGGATTTTTATGGTTTCAGGTCTTACGTTTAGGTCTTTAATCCACTTTGACTTGATTTTTCTGTATGGTGTAAGATCGGGGTCCAATTTCATTCTTTTGCATGTGGCTTAACAGTTTTCCCAACACCATCTATTGAAGAGACTATCCTTTCCCCTATTGTATATGCTTGGCTCCTTTGTTGTAAATAAATTGATCGGATAGGAGTGGGTTTATTTCTGAGCTCTCTATTCTGTTCCATTGATCTATGTGTCTCTTTTTATGCCAATACCATACTGTTTTGATTACTATAGCTTTGTAATATAGTTTGAGATCACATTATGATAACTCCAGCTTTGTACTTCATTCTCAAGATTGCTTTGGTTATTTGGGGTCTTTTGTGATTCCATACAAATTTTAGGATTGTTTGTTCTATTTCTGCAAAAAATGCCATTGGAATTTTGATAGGGATTACAATCCATCTGTAGATTGCTTTGGGTAGTACAGATAGTTTAGCAATATTAATTCCTCCAATTCATCAACAAGGACTATCTTTCCATTCATTTATGTCTTCTTCAATTTCTTTCCTCAATGCCTTATAGTTTTCAGTGTACAGATCTTTCACCTCCTTAGGTATTTCACTCTTTTTAATGCATTGTAAATGGAATTGTTTTCTTAATTTCTCTTTCAGGAAGTTCATTTTTAGTATATAGAAATGCTACAGGTTTTTTTTTTTCAGGGAAAGATTCATCCTGAGCTAACATCTGTTGCCAACCTTCTTTTTTTTTTTCCCCCCTCCCCAAAGCCCCAATGCATGGTTGTATATCCTAGTTGTAAGTTGTTCTAGTTCTTCGATGTGAGCTGCCATCACAGCATGGCAACTGACAGATGGGTGGTGTGGTTCCATGACCAGGAAACAAATCTGGGGTGCTGAAGAGGTGAGCACCAAACTTTAACCACTAGGCCATCAGGGCTGGCTCGTTGCAGGTTTTGTATATTGATTTCATATCCTGCAACTTTACTGAATTTGTTGATTAGTTCTAACAGCTTTTTAGTGGAGTCTTTAGGGTTTTCTATACATAATATCATGTCATCTGAAAGTAGAGACAGTTTTACTCTTCCTTGCCAATTTGGATGCGTTTTACTTCTTTTTCTTGCCTAATTGTTTGGTCTAGGACTTTCAGTACTTTGTTGAATAAAAGTGGCAAGAGTGGACATCCTTGACTTTTTCATGATTTTAGAGGAAAAGATTTCAGCTTTTCACCATGAGTATAATGTTAGCTGTGGACTTGTCATATATGGCCTTTATTATGTTGAGGTGTGTTCCCTCTGTACCCACTTTGCTGAGAGTTCTTATCATGAATAGACATTGAATTTTGCCAAATGCCTTTTCTACATCTATTGAGATGATCTTGTGATTTTTACCCTTCATTTTGTTAATGTGGTGTCTCATGTTGACTGATTTGTGGATGTTGAACCATCCTTGCATCCCTGGAATAAATCCCACTTGGTCACAGTGTATGATCTTTTTACTATATTTTTGAATTTGGTTTGTTAATATTTTGTTGACTGGGATTGAATTGCAAACTCTTTTTTGGACGGCATCTCCAATCTCACTTTAAATATTTTGAAATTTAACCTCAGCTAAAAGAATGTATAGACATATTTTTAGAACATATGAGTGAGTTAGCAAGCTCATCCGGATGCAAAATCAACATACTAATGTCAATTTTACTTCTATATACCTGAAGCATATAAGTATAAATTGAAAAATTGATATCATTAATATAGCATTGGGTATTTATGGATAATTTCTAATGACTTCCACACAGAAAATTTATGAGTTATTATTGAGAAAAATAAAAGAAAACAAACCTAAAGGAATGAGAATGTGTATCACTTCTATGGATTAAAAACTACATATGGTTTAGATGTTAATTTTTCTAACATTTATTATTATATTCAATACACTCTCATTTAAAGTTGAACAGATTTTCTTGTTGAAAATGACAAGCTAATTCAAAACTTTAAAGAAGCTAGAACATCCAAGACAGTCTTGAAGAAGAAGAGGAAAGGACTGGAGGGCTTCACTTGCACGTAACGACTTACTGTAAAACTACGGTGATGAAGACAGTGTGGTGTGAGAACACAGGTCAACAAATAGACCAACGGGATGGAATAGACTCCAGGAAACACCTGCACACGTCCATACTCCCACAAAGGCGGCATTTCAATTTAGTGAGGAGGGAAGGTGGTCTTTGCAATAAGTGGTGCTGAAGTAATTAGATATATGTAAGGAAAAATTAATCTTGACAGCTACTTCAACATACAGAGAAATCATTCCATACAGATTGCAGATCTAAGTGTCAAAAGTAAAACAATAAAGATTCTAAAAGAAATCCAAGGATATCATCTTCTTAAATTTGGAGTAGACAACTATTTCTTTAAAGGGCACAGATATCACTAACCATAAAGGAAAAGATTGGTAAGTGGGAGTATATTAAAAGTAAGAACTATTATTCATCAAAAGATATCAATTGAATGTTAGAAAATTCAAGCAACACAGTGGAAGAATATATTTATATGCATATAACTGACAAGGTACTCGTATTTAAAATACGTAGAAAGACATCCTATAAATCAATTAGAGGAAACAAGCAATCCAGTAAACATTGAGCAAAAGACTCAAGCAAGCACTTCATAAAAAAATAGATCCACATGATCAATATGTTTTTAAGAAGGTGCTCAATTTCATTGGTCATCAGTAAAATACAAATTAAAACAATAATATAACTTATTACACCTTTGACAGGACAGCTGATGTGGAAAAGACAGACAATCCAGAAGTTGTTGAGGCCATGGAGCAAACAGAACTTTCACACGCAGCCAGCAGGAGTATAAATTACTGCAACCGCCTTTGAAAACTGTTTGGCAGTGCCTACCAAAACCAAACATACATACGCCCTACAACTCTGTGACCAGTGCACCTAAAGACAAAGGTAAGAATATGTTGTGTCATCATCCTTTGTAATGGCCCACCACTGGAAACACCCCAATGTTCAACCACAGAATAAAGCATGATAAATGCACACGATGGAGTACTATACAGCCTTGACCAACATCACAAGGTTCAAATCTCACACAGCAAAAGAAGCTCATCATGGCTGCTTTCAAAAGTTCCTTAAAGTCTTGAGTCCAATGTTGAGAATACATATAATATATATTATATATTTATATAATACATCCTATGTTGTAGGTTGAAGGTGGTGTGAAGGGGAATAATTTTGGGGAAAATGCTCAACATGTGTTTCTGATAAATGATTGGTTTAAGTGCTGTACACAAATCCATAGAGAAAATCACATTTCATGATAAAATTAATCTTCCTTTTGTGAAGTTTGTTAGATTCATATTATGATCAACTCACAATGATGTAAAATGTATAAAAAGGGAGAAGCAAATTAAATTGTTTCAACTTTTTAAAACCGCATGCTGATTTGCTTCAGTCTTGTGACACCAAGCATCTATATAAATTTTCAGTGTGGCACTATGACTTTTTATATTTCTACACAATGGTACTGAGCCTTCAGCATAGTTTGGGAGATATGGTTTAAGATAAACGGTAAGATTATAACTCAATCAAATAAATGGTAAAGGGAAGACTTTCTCTCTTACATGCTGCTTGTTTATAGTTTATTTATTTTGCTATAATTTGAAGAATGGATTTTACTAGAAGCTGACAAAGAAATTATACAATTTCTGTTCAATCTTCTTAAAAAAAAGTCTAGCAACTGAGTAATCTGAGTGAATTGGAGTTGGTGATTCTGATTTTACTTCCTTCTCTGTGTGTTGTCTCAAGATTCATTGGAAGCTGACAGAAGCAGGTAGACCATGTCTTTTTAATAACAGTTTTTATTATTTTGTAGGTACTACATTGTAAGAGTTGTTTAGGAATTTAGAACCTGTGATATCTAATTTAATTCCCAGAAACCCTGTGAAATAGTTATTATTCCCATTCTACAAAAGAAAACTAAGATTCAGAGAGATCACACAGCTAGCGGGATTTGAACAATGGCCTGTATGAATCCAAACTTTATGCTTTAACAGTTCTATTTCTTTGTTTCATTCATTTGTTCTTTTAACAACATACGCAAATTTCCCATTATATGCCAGGTATGACTCTGGGTACTAAGACCGCGCTGGAGAATAAGCCAATCAAGGTACTTGCTCTCATCAGATTCCAGTCTGGTAGGGGAGACAGATATCAGGAAAATGAACAAATATATAGACAAGAAACATATCAGACAGTAGTAAATGTAGGAAGAAAATTAAAAGAAGGTGATACGGTAGAGATTGAGAGATCAGGGAATGCATCTAAGAGGAGAGATCGTTTTAATGAGATCTGATTGACAATAATTGGCAGCCATGACAAGCTCAGAAGGAAGCTCTTTGCAGGCAGAAACAACAGCTAATGTAAAGCCCAGAGGCAAGAATCTGCTCTAGGGACAGAGGAAGGTGAATGGGGCTGAAACAGTTGGGTGATGTGAAGCATAAGGCAAGATGAATCAGAGACGCAGGCAGAGTCAAATCACTTAAGACTTCGTAAGCCACGAAAGAATTTATATTTTGTTTTAAGTATGGTGGAAAACTACTGGAGTTATCTAAGCTGGCTGTTGTTTGAATAATGAATTGTTCATGGTAACAGTAAAGGCTGAGAGTCCAGGGAGGGGTCACTGTAGTGATATAACTGAGAGATAATGTTGGCTAAACATAGGAGGTAATGCAGATGGAAAGGAGTGGAGAGTTTTGGGTTGCGTTTTGAGGCAGAGTTGACAGGACTTTCAAAATGATTAGATGTGGGTAAGAGGGAGAGAAAAGAATCAAAGATAGCTTATTGGCTTAAGCAACTTGTTGGATGTTAGCTATGTATTGAGAAGTAGATCAAAGGAAGAGGTAGTTTTTGGCGTGTTATGACCACCTGCTCTTCATCCTGTTGGTGAAGGAGGGATCCTATGCCCTAAATCCTAGGAGATGGTCAGACACACAACACCTGACACTGGACAGATGAGCTCGAGAGCAGTTTGTTCGTCACGGATTCTCACAGCCCAAGGGAAGAGAAAGCCACACACCATGCTGGGCCACACAGGTGTTGCACTCTAGGGCAGAGTGAACCAGATGGGGCTGTGGAAGGCAGGCCCTGTAGTAACAGGAGGGTGAGGTGCCCCTGGTTCATGCAGGAGGACATGGTTAGCTTATCTGAATAATTTCATGGGTTGGCAAGGAGGTGAATCTGTTAGATTGAGGACTAGGTGGGTGCACCTGGTCCAGTGGATAGAAGAACTAGTCAGATGGGGAACATTTCCCTCTGGGGAGGGGCATTTCCAGAAAGAGTGGGGAAACTCATAGCTGGACCTTTGGGCCCTGTGAGTCCCCAAGATGTCAAGGCAGCACATTTGAAATTTAGATCTTATAATACAGGGGTGGAATCAAGTTCCTTTTGGGCTTGGTGTGTTTGAGATGCCTGTATGAAGATCCATCCAAGTGGAGATGTCGAGTTGGATATACGATCTAGAACTGTGAGAGGTCAGAATTGGAAGTGATGATTTGGGCGATATGGGTATTTAAAGCCATGGGCCTAGATGGGAGAATATATAGATGGACAAGAGAAAGGAGCCAGGACTTCACCTTGGATAGATTTCCACGTTGGAATAAGCAAATCAAGGAGACTAGGAATCTCCACATTGTTTTCCATAGTGGCTGCACCAGTTTGCACTCCCACCAGCAGCGTATGAGAGTTCCCTTCTCTCCACATCCTCTCCAACACTTCTTGTTTCCTGTCTTGTTAGGTGATATCTTGTTGTAGTTTTGATTTGCATTTCCCTGATAGTTAATGATGTCGAACAGCTTTTCATGTGCTTGTTGGCCATCTGTATATCTTCTTTGGAGAAATGTCTGTTCAGGTCTTTTGCCCATTTTTAACTGGGTTGTTAGTTTTTTTTGTTGTTAAGATGTATGAGTTCTTTATATTTTTTCGATGTTAACCCCTTATCAGATATATGGTTTGCAAATATCTTCTCCCAATTGTTAGGTTGTCTTTTCATTTTGTTGATGGTTTCCTTTGCTGTGTAGAAGCTTTTTAGTTTGATGTAGTCTCATTTGTTTATTTTTTCTATTGTTTCCCTTGCCCTGTCAGACACAGTATGGAGATCCCTCAAAAAATTAAGAATAGAACTACTATATGATCCAGGTATTCCACTGCTGGGTATTTATCCAAAGAATGTAAAAACGCCAATGCATAAAGATACATGCACCCCGGTGTTCACTGCAGCATTATTCACAATAGCCAAGACTTGGAAGCAACCTAAGTGCCCATCAAGGGACGAATGGATAAAGAAGATGTGGTATATATACACAATAGAATACTACTCAGCCATAAGAAATGATGAAATCCAGCCATTTGTGACAACATGGATGGACATTGAGGGTATTATGCAAAGTGAAATAAGTCAGAGGGAGAAGGTCAAATACCATATGATCTCACGCATAAGTAGAAGATAAAAACAACAAGCAAACACACAGAGACAGAGGTTGGATTAGTGGTTACCAGAGGGGAAGGGGGATAGGGAGAAGGGTGAAAGGCGGGACAGGGCACATGTGTGTGGTGATGGATAGTATTTAGTATTTGGGTGGTGAACATGATGTAATCTATGCAAAAATAGAAGTATAATGATCTACACCTGAAATTTATATAATGTTATAAACCATTGTTACTGCAATTAAAAAAAGGAGGCTAGGAAGAGCAGCTGGTGAGATAGGAAGAAGACCAGGAGGGTGAAGTATCATGATCCAAGGGAAGCATTTCGGGAAGGAAGTGACCATCTGTGGTGAATGACCCAAGTAGTGCCGTAAGGTAAGTAACTATTGGATTTACAACACGGTACCCTTGACAAGAGAGCCTCTGTGGAGCTGTGGGAAATGGAGAGGAAATTGGACATTCTTTGTTGGTCTCATTGAGAGTCCAGTGAAACCAGTGGTGTCTGCTGGTCTCTAGTTACTGTTTAATGCTGACAACAACAGCAACAGCAAGTCCCCATGGGGTCTAAGACACACGGACACAGTGAATAAGCATGGATTCTCCTTCCATGGAGGTTAGCTCCCTGAGAGGCCAATGCAAGAATTTGTGGGATGCTTCTTCTCTGACAGGGTAAGTACTTACCCCCTGAGAAGTCACAACAGGCAGAGGTACAGCGACCCCCACATGGCCCTGCCTTCCTCTTGTATCACCCCCTCATGCCTGTGCTGGAGCCTTGTTAACCTTCTTTCAGTTTCACAAACAGGACAAGTTCCTGCTTCAGGGCATTTGCACACACTTTTATCTCTGCCTAAAAAAATCATCTCCCATTTTCTTCTGGTGATCTCAACCAGGACCAACTTAGGTTTCTGTTTAAACGTCTCTTTCTCAGGAAATCCTCCCTGGTCTCTCAGATTAGGTTATGTTTCCCTGCTACGCATTCTCATTGTGCATTTTTCCTTCACAACTCTTCCATGGTAATAATTAAATGCATATCCGTGAATTATTTGAGTACTATCTCCTTCACTTGACTATAAGTTCTATGAAGTCTTGGTCTCTATTTGTTCTTAACAATATTTCAAGTGCTTGGCACAGTCCTGGCCTAATGTGAGTGAACAATAAATATGATTGTTCTCTTCTCAGTCATAAGTGGAAATGGAAGGGATTCATTCAATAGTAAGGAAAAGGACAAAACCCATTCCAATTGTTCATTTCATTTTACCTTATGCCTAAGATACCTTATTGGAATAATTTTGTTAGTATTGCTGAACTTATCGTTAGCTTCTGTGTTCAATTTAACCCTTTTAAAAAAATCTATTCAGAGTTTGAACTATAATATTGACTTAAAAATAGTAATAATTCCAAGGAGGACTACCCTAGTTAATATACAGTTCTGTAACAAAGTTATTCCATCTATCATCTATCTATGTGTCTATCTATCTTTCTGTCTATCTATCAATCATCTGTCTATCATCCATCTACCTATCTATCTCTATCTTTGTTATTTTTATATTGCATATATCTTTTAAATATTAAATGACAAATATGGGAAGATTTTGTCAGTAATGGCATAGTGCCTCAGAGTTATTTTTCTGTTATTCTATGGACTTCAGTGTTGGTAATCTACTCATGAGCAGTAGAGAAGGTTCCGAGGCAGGGTATTTTGAAACGGGTCCATTACTTTTTCTCCGAACATGATCCTCAACCCAACTTTGACTCACTCTGAACTTGATGTCACTCCATCCTTGGTCTTTATATCTTTCTTCCCTCTATCGTAAGTCCCTTATCTCTGCACTCAAACTTGACCCTCATCTTTTCCTTCATTTCAAACCTAACCTTAAGAGGTTGGTTTCAGATATGGAGTGAACACGTCTGTTCTAAACATTAAATGGTAATAAAACAAAGCTGAATATTTCATATTAAAGTCTTCCTGAAATAAAAATGATTACATTAACGTTGTTGGGTCAAAAGAAAATGTTGTGTATCCAATAGCTCCCATAGATTGTACAAATAGTGTAAAATAATAAAAAAAAATATTTTCATCGCTTATGTCTCAAGAAACACACTGAACACTGAGTTCGATCTGAAATGTTACAGACAGGAAAGGCCTTGATCGTCTCTAACCTGATTAGTGTCCATTCATACGACTTTGATGTATGATGGGAGGAATCTAGGGAGACTGTGAGGAGGACATGAGCCCTTCTTTGTTTGTGTGAATCTAAACTGATACTATAAAAGGTAACTGACTCTGTCTGGAAGAAGTAATTTATTATTTTACTTTGTCAAACCTCAAGATAATTGTAGTGTTGCCTAATGATGGACCATTAGCTTTCTTTACTCTTAACTTTGAAAGTAATTTAACAGTTAGTGGAAAAACAATTGTGGATTATTTAGGCCTCCTTGCCCCTCTACACTCTTCTCTACGCTTGACTTTTCTTCTTTTGGGAGAATTCCTATTTATCCTTCAAGATCCGGCTCAAGCATCAACTCTTCTGTGAAAATTATTCTCGATTCATCTCTTCTTTCCTCCCACTTCTTCCAGGTAGGCAGAGATGTTCTCCCTCATCTGTTCCATGGCACCTTATACGTGTATTCTTTAACCATTTGTTACAATGCAGTGAAATTATTTGTTCACAAATGTAACTGGGGCTTAGCATTTTGAGGATTCAACAAGATA